CTATAATGATACTGAAAAATTTGATAACATTGGTTGCTTCTAAGGAAGAGAACTGCGGGACAGGGGCAAGAGGGAGAGCGCGCTACGCACTCCCATACACCTTTGGAATGTGCACTTTGGAATGTATAACTAATTCATATAAATAAAAAAAATTTTAAATAAAACAAATGGCCATTGGTACCAGTCTAGCAAAGGAATAGAAGAAAGAGCTAAATGTATTCATCTTCTTAGAAAAAGCACCCCCTTACACATAATCCAAAAAAACAAAAGGTAACCCCAGGATATAGAAATGATAGCATCTATAATTCTTAAATGAATTCTTAATTTCCTATAAATTATATAAGCTGGGCCAAACTTTAACTTCACAGCAGCAGATGGACGCTTAAAATTTTCTCCAAATAACTCAAAAAATTACAATATTCTACATTAACCGAAAGAACCCCCCATCCCCCCACCTCCCCAAAAAAAACCCGAACCCGTTGCCGTTGAGTCGATTCCAACCCATAGCGACCCTACAGGACTGAGTAGAACTGCTCCATAGGGTTTCCTAGGCTGTAATCTTTAAGGAAGCAGACTGCCACATCTTTCCCTCGCAATCAAAAGAGGTAAAGGACATATGAACAGTGTTATTTCCAACACATTTCCTTTCTGCCCCCTAGTGGGATCTAATTTTAGTAAAAGTAATTTAACATACGTAACTTCTAAATGTATACACATAAAGGTATAAATATTAACTTTCATATCAGTCTTAAAAATGATTAATGCAATCTTACTTAGTTATCAAGAAGAAAAACAACATAAACAACCATCTAATTATAAGAACACAAATGCGATTTTGTCCAGGAGTGGTTAAATAAAGCTGCTTACAGCCAGTTGCTCACTCCTGTGGATAAACTACATTGTGATAAGCACAGAAACAACCAACAACACCCACAGATTTTTGTCCTCCAGTGCAAACTGTGCCCAGCTTCCAAATATCCCACAATTCCATAAACTATATGGTTATACAGAAAAATAATGCAGAAAAATAAATCAGAGTTTCAAATGCCTTAAACAAAAAGAAACATGACGTCATAGTTAGAAGGAAGGACAAAGTAGGAATTCAGAGTTAGGCCAGCTCTGCAAACTTAAGGTCCACATGCTTGAAACATTAACAATAAATAGATTACTAGCGTTAATGGCAGTTCTACTCTGTCCTACAGGGTCGCTACGAGTCGGACTTGACTTGACGGCAATGGACCTGGATTTTTTGGGAGCATTAATTTAATGAAATGTGGAACATTTATTCAAGTTGCAGTTTAGCAGAGCTCATATCTGGTGAAAGTCCAATAAGAATGTTAAATAATCTTTCTGGAAATGCTATTCAATACTGTCAGCAGGAAATGCCTTTTAAGTATGTGTGTGTGAGCATGTAAATACATATATATTTAAACACCTATGGATTTCACTGACCAAAGAGCACACAGCAAGTAAAAGAAGAAATAGCATTTTGACCAAATCTGAATATCCGTAGTTTGTGCCATAATAAGTTAATCACAAAAAATTTGTTACCATTAAAATCTTTTGAAAAATGCTGACATTTCTGAGTACCTTAAAGCTGAAAAATGTAAAAGCTGAAAATGAAATATTAGAATGCCTTTATATAAAATAATGCTTTCATTTGATGATAGGGAACTAACATAAATCATATGCTCAAAGAAAAATTCTCTGTTAATGACTCAGCGATTCTCCTAGTATAAGAAATATGGTTTTAGATTGAATATTGAAAAACTTCAAGTGCCAAATATTTTTTTTTCTCATTAGCCTGTCTTTAGAAATTGACTTGCCCATTGTGGTCAGCCTTTCTGTGTGGCAGGAGATTTTTCCCAATAAATTTAAAGAGAAGGATTTCTGTATAGGTACAGGTCAGATGGAAGAGTCAAGAGAACCAGAGCAGGAAACCCTGCTCCCTAGGAATTGGATAAAGGTGTTTGGTTGGTGTTGTTCTTCAATATCTAAACTTACCTAGTTTCACATCAACTGAATTAACTGACTATACATTCCATTTCCTTATCTCACTATGAGTCAGAATCAACTTGACAGCAATGGGTTTTTCCGGCTCTTGAGGGGCAGCCCAGCTGACTATTCCAGGTAGGAATTTTGGTATAGGACAGGCCTCTCCTCCAGTCAGTTTCATCATCCGTGTTACAGGTGACAGGTTGAAAACTAAAAAATGGCCACAAAAACTGAACTAGTATGGCATTGCCTGGCTCACTGCTGGGAAACAGCTTGAGTCTTGGCCATCAGGTTGTTACAGATCTGTATTCGTATCCCTTCTTTTGTACGCTTCCAGGGTGAATGAAAAAGATAGTAAAATCAAGCGAATTTCCTCTAATGATATGGCACCGACTTAAAATGCTTTTGATTTCTCCAAGTCAAAACAACCAAAAATCTACCAATTTCTAACGTTTGGTAGATAACGGGAAATCTTTAAATAGGTTTCATGGCACTTAATGTTATTACTCCACTACAGTGATTGATGGGAAGCTGTAAACTGAGAATCACAACCTCACCGGATTGAGCAGATGAAGATCTTCTGCAAGACTGAGAGGGGGCTCTAAAACAAATATAAATGGTGGTATTAAGTGCAAGGTGACACAATAAACACTAGCACATGTGTGTTTAGATAAGGATGCCACTATCACATAGTGAGCTTTGGTGAGGGTAACTTCCGATTTTTTTATACAAAATTTATCCTTTTAAATTAATTTTATACTCCTTTTGCTAAAAAGGAAATTTTCTTGTAAAGCTAAAACACAAGAAAACAAAACAAAGAACTTCAGACAGAATTTTCATCCTTAACAACAGAGCCTCAATCTGAGTGCTTTTATTTGTAAGTTAATACGTACAACTGGTATTATGGATTTTTTTTCAGTTTTCCACTATGTCCCGTTGTTACTCAGTTACTTTGTTAGTTGAATTCACCAATTAATATAACAAAAATCCCACACCAAATCTGAATAATGGATAACTTGAGGAATGCCACCTTAATGCTCTATATAAAACCGAAATGCATCCCTTACAGAAAGAAAGCCAAACTATAAAATTTACCCCATTAATATCTGCAACTGTATTTTCATGACCTTGAATAAACAGTTTAGTTAACTCAGTGACAGAACTAGTAAGTTGAGTAAACCCAAATCCAGTTGATGAGGCTGTTTAGCAGGTAGCCAGAAACTGGTGTGAAGGAGGAAGAGTGCCTGGGGAGGGTGGGGTAGGAGAGGGATGGAGTGTGCGCATGGATGAAGCGAAGACAGCAAAAGACACATCCTCCCCATTGTTCAGTTTTCCTAAAGCCTTGGTAAGTGGTAACTACTTCTCTTCCCACCGAAATGACTTTCTGGGTAGCCTTTAGCAGAAGAGCTTAGAAAGTACTGGCACCTCTCCTACCTCTTTTCCTTTTCTGAAAAAGATAGTTATTATTACATCTAGAATACTTTACAATTCCTTTGCAATATTGTCTTACATGATTTTAAAGCTGGAGGATATCAGGAGATCATGTAGGATAACCACCCCTTGACTTTGTTGATGAGGGAACTAAGGTCCAGAGAGGCTATAATTTACTAGCGGCAATTCTCTTTAATTTCTAGTCCACATGAAATAAACAAGTGCATCTAAAGGGCTTAGAAAGGCTGTAGTTAATGTTTTGAAAAGCAAGAGACAAATACACATAAGAAATGGTTCAATAAGACAAAGAAACAAGTACAAAAGAGAACTCTCCTCTCCACTCGTCCCCTCAGAACAGCTAGTCACCTGTTCTGATGTTAGTAACAAACAGTGAATTAAGAATAAAGGGCTTTAAAAACAGATAATGGAAAAAGCACTACTATGAACACAGGTAATCACTATAATATGCAAAGTGTATACAAAGTACTTACCAAGTACCTAGTATATTTTGAAGTAAATCCATAAAACATGGACTATAAAGTCTTTAATACAAATTATTTTCTCCCAAATTTATTTCTACTATTTCACTACAAGAACAAGCTATGGTAAGAGATGAGAAAGAGGTGCATCTGCATAATTCAAATCCCCATCCTAAAGAAACATCTAGAAAATCAATTTGATTGCTGCTTTAGCCAGGTGGCTCCAAACGATTATTTCCTCTACCTGCTTCATTGAGGTGAAAGAGGAAAGTTCAGGTTACAGAGTCTGATGATACCGAATTCCGAACACTTGTGTCAAAGTAAATATATTTTAAAATTTTTTAAAACTTGAAAACTCAAGTATGCAGGTGTGTTTCTAAGGTATTTACTTGTTCGGAGCCAACACAAATGTTTTTCATCTGAATCACCCAAAGTGTATCTCTAGCAGTATGTGAAATGACTTTACACATGGCACATGAGGAAACATTTTAAATTTTACTACTTACGTACTGATTTTAATGTGCATTAGAAAAACAACACACACGGTTTTCTATATTAAAAGTGAGTCAATTTAAAAATATTAAATAATAGCACAGGTGGTATGTGGGTATGGCAAAACTCAAATGTCTGAGGTTTGGGAAATACTGTTTTAGACAAGGTAACGTCTCTGGGGATGAGCTAGCATAAATATTACTGTTCAAAGATGTGAACATTCTTCCAAACTAAATTATATTCTACCTTCTATATTACTTCCTGGCTTATTTCCATTGAAACAACAACAATAAATCAGTGTAAAGTTCTTTCAGTAGAAATTTCAAGCAATTTACAGATGTCATTGAAGAAAGTCTATTAATATCAGCCATTTAATGAGTAAGAATCACTTCTCTGACTTCCCATAATTATTAAAGCTTCCTAATTCATGTCATTGGGACAGGGCATACGTATCAGTGTCATTCTGCATACTACGGATACCATAGTCTGCAGAATGTCACAAGACTAACACTGCTGAACACGTTCTTGCCCCAGCCCCGTCTGCGTTATGTACCAGAGGCTACCAGGAAGCTAAATGAACCCAATAAAAATGCAGACACTTACTGTCGCTGGGGAGGCCCGAGCCGTGTGGGTCACTGTGTGGCCAGAATTCTCCATGGAATTGCCGATCAGGTAGGTTCCTCCTGAGCTGCTGATGAGTTGCCCTCCGGTGACACCCATCTGAATGCCGCCAGTGCCCACCATGCTGTGGGACGAGACCACCGTGGTCACCTGTGCAGAGCTCCCTTGAGTATCAAAGTAATTCCCTCCAGCGTTTTGGCTGTACATCTGCGTCTCTGTGTAAGGGTAAGTTGTTGTTCGGCTTTAGAAGGAAAGAAAAAGAAAAAGACGTTGACTTGCTTGCGTAAGTCAGCTGATTTTTTTCTAGCGTGAATATGTTTAAAACAGATCCTTTAGACTTTGGAACACAAAGAGTTTTGCGTTTTGTATCGAACTTCACTCCCGGAAACATTTGGGTTTACTTTCCAAATTACAAGTGTCCTTTAATAAGTACATCGACTCTTCTACACCTTAGAGTGTTTCACCTTTACTGATCCACTACCTCCAGTATATATACGTAAACTCAGGTCTCTATATAAACTCAGGTCTCTTCCCACCCCAAAATTCTGCTGAGAGATGTTTTCGATTCCTTATAAAATTTCCTGCAAATCTCAGTCTTAGAAAAGCTGGGATCTGGAGTGACTGGGGCTGACTGTCAACTATTCATGCTACTTCACATTCCCAGGTGACTTGCAATCCATGGCTAAAGTACTTTTATGGGTCTCTTTCTTGGCACTAGGAGTTAAGTTCTCGGCTACTAAGAGAGAGGTTAGCAATTCAAACCCACCCAGAGGCACCTTGAAAGGAAGGCCCAAAGATCTGCTTCTGAAAGGTCAAAGTCATGTAAATCCTACGGAGCAGCTCTACTCTGCCACACGTGTCGTTGCCATGAGTTGGAATCAACTCAAGCACGACTGGTTTCTTGCCAACACAAGGATCTTGAGCAAATGGTTTTACTCACATTGGGCCCTAATCTACTATCTCCTTCAGAGTCAAGCTTCTTGATGAGATGGCTATGTCACCTCTTCATGTCCTCACTTCCCAACAATGCAGTCATGCTTCTGCCCTGAGCCTTTCACTGAAACTGCTTTTAATAAGGTCACTTGTGACTAAATCCAAATACCAAGCTAAAAGGCTCCTGTCTGTCCTTATCTTTTGTGACCTATGTGATGTGTGACACTGTTGACCACTTCATATTGCCCTTTCCCTCCTCTTTCTGTTCTGCTTAAACTTATCTGATGGATTTGTGTTTCATTTCCATTGCAAATACTTGCATTTTAACATTCCTTTTTTTATTTTTACTTTTCATTTCGAGTTAATTATAAGCTCATAGGAAGTTGCAAAAATAGTACAGAAAGGTACAACTTACTTTAATATTAAAAAATTCAAACAATATCAAAGGGTAAAAAATAAAATGCTGAGTTCTTTTGCCATTCTCTTCAAGTCCACACCCTGGGGCTGACCACTACTGACAGTCTGGTGTGTAGGTTTTCAGAAACTTTCTATGCATATATTAAGTTCCCTCTGTCTCAACCTCTCTTGCCCCTTAGGTTCTATGGCATTTCTTTTACACTTTTTGTGTTTTTTACCACTACCCTTCAAGAACCTTTTGGTGTCTCCATTTTCCTGGCACCTTAAATACTGGTATTTTCTGAGGTTTCTATCTTTAGCTCTTATTCTCTTCTTATTTGTACTCAGATCACATCTATTCACTATGTACTATGATCATAAGTACATGCTCATTGTAAACACTCTTAGCTAAGTTGGGTATCTCCACTCTTTACTTCTTAATTATACCTGCAGAATTTTAAATCTGAGTTTCTGACAGTCAACTGGTTATCTCTATTAGGAAACCCCATGATGTATGGGAAGCCCCATATGTAAAATTCAACATAAGATTAAAAAGAAATTCCTCATTCCTCTTGCTCCTTCTCCTGGATTCCCTAACTCAGAGGAGGGGAGAACCCCCATTCTCACCCTTGGAAATTATTGCCAGCTTCTCTCTCTCCGACTGACATTAATCACTAAGTCCTGTTAATTTCACTTTCTAAATACTTCTCCAATCCACTCCCTCCTTTCTATTCCCGCACTAACTGCCTTAACTCATAACGTTCTCAAAATAAATGCCTCGTAATTGGTTTTCCTTTAATCGGGCTCTCTTCCTATTGACCTTCAACGTAGCTCCCAGGGGCAATCTTTCTAAAATGTAAATAGGAAAATAAAACTTTTCTTGAAAACTTTCTCATGATTCTCTCTTGCCTTCAGAACAAAGTTAAAAAACCCTGACCTGCTTTACAAGAACCTTCAGGGGTTGATGCCTGTATAACCTCCAGACTTGGCCCTAGCCATGTCCTCAAATATATCTTTTATTCACACCACAGTGGCCTGTCTGCTGGTCTCCCCAAAGCACCAAGCTCGCTAGTCTCCCTGCCTTGCTGCACATAGTTTCCTCTGCCTGGAAGACTTTTACACATTTCATCAACCCCTTTCCTTTGTCTGCTAATCATCCTTAAACTTTTAGCTCGAGCATCATCTTAGAATTATTTTCTGCATCCTTGCCTCCATAACCTCCCTCCAGAGGCTGTCTGCTTCGTTCTCTGTCTTTTCCTAACACCGTGTGCATACCGGAAACACAGCACCCAATTCACACATTGTCAATTTTCCCGGTCTTTGTGCTCCTGTTAAACTATGCTTTAGTTCCATGTGCACCCTCAATATTTAGCACAGTTACTGGCATACAGTGGACACACAAAATTGTCAAGAAATAAAAACATGCTTGCATTTACAAGCATTTATTTGACCTGTTAGCTAGTTCCTTAAATTTCTAAAACAGCAACTCTGTTTTGTTTTGTCAAAGCATAAGTGAGAAATCATGGTAAATTATCCCAAGAGTTTTCTGTATTTAGAACAGGTGCTTTTAAACTAGAGAAGCAGAATGTAAACTTTCAGTAAGATGATAACAGCAACAATAATGGTAGTGTTTTGAAAGCATCCCTCATAAAGTAAAGATAAGGCTTTCCACACAAAAACCCAGGGGATCTAGGTACAAATTTTAGTTTGGTGGTGGTGGGCGGGAGGTGGAAATAATTCCATAGAGAACTTTTTTTTTTCTTTTAACAGATAGAAAAACATCATTTAAAATAGTTATCATACAACTCTTCTCATTACTTCCCCACTGGAAATCTCATTTATTTCTCTGAATACATATACATCTCATTAAATAAAATAAAACAACAGCCATTTGAAATTCAAGTTTAGATAAAATGAGAAATGGGATCATTTAAATTTATGTCCACTGAATAGGATGATGACCCCATTTAACTGCACTTAAAATAACACAATCTGATGTTGGTAGTTAAACACAGCAATAGATATAGGATGATAAATACTCTGACAGATGCAGGACACGGTGCCAAGTTTCCTCTTCACAGCCCAAGCAAAATGAGTAAGTCACGTCCCCTAGCAATAATATGATTTAACAAATAAAGCACATAATAGCCAACTGTAGCTAATTTTTCCATACATGTCTGTCAGTTTGTCGTACCATGGTGACTTACGTGTTGCTGTGATGCTGGAAGCTATGCCCCGGGTATTTCAAATACCAGCAGGGTCACCTATGGTACACAGGTTTCAGCTGAGCTTCCAGACTAAGACAGACTAAGAAGAAGGACCTGGCGGTCTACTTCTGAAAAAATCAGCCAGCGAAAACCCCTCAGGTTGGAAGGCACTCAAAATAAAGACTGGGGAAGAGCTGCCTCCTCAAAGTAGAATCGACCATAATGATGTGGATGGAGTGAAGCTTTCGGGACCTTTGCTGATGTGGCATGACTCAAAATAAGAAAAAACAGCTGCATATGTCCATTACTAATAGGAATGTGGAATGTATGAAGTATGAATCCAAGAAAATTGGAAGTTGTCAAAAATGAAATGGAACACACAAATATCAATATCCTAGGCATCAGTGAGCTGAAATGGACTGGTACTGGCCATTCTGAATCAGACAATCATATGGTCTACTATGCCGGGAATGACAAACTGAAGAGGAATGGCATTGCATTCATCCTCTAAACGAACATTTCAAGATCAATCTGGAAGTACAGCGCTGTCAGTGACAGGATAATATCCATATGCCTCCAAGGAAGACCAGTTAATATGGCTATTATTTAAATTTACTCATCAACCACTAATGCTAGATGAAGAAATTGAAGATTTTTACCAAATTCTGCAGTCTGAAACTGATCAAACATGCAATTAAGATGCATTGATAATTACTGGTGATTGTAATGCAAAAGTCGGAAACAAAGAAGAATGAACTGAAGTTGAAAAATATGGCCTTGGTGATAGAAACGACTCCAGAGATCACATGATAGAATTATGAAAGACCAACTACTTCTTCATTGCGAATACCATTTTTCACCAACATAAACGGCAACTATATACGTGGACCTCATCGGATGGAATACACAGGGATCGAACTGAATACATCTGAGGAAAGAGACGATGGAAGAGCTGGATATCATCAGTTAGAACAAGGCCAGGGGCCAAATGTGGAACAGACCATCAATTGCTTATATGCAAGTTCAAGTTGAAGGAGAAGAAGATTAGAATAAGTCCAGGAGAGTCAAAGTATGACCTTGAATATACACCACCTGAATTTAGAGACATCTCAAGAACAGATTTGACTCATTAAACACTAATGACCAAAGACAAGATGAGTGGTAGAATGACATCAAGGACATCATACATGAAAAAAGCAAGAGGTCATTAAAAAGGCAGGAAAGAAAGAAAAGACCAAAATACATGTCAGAAGAGACTCTGAAAGTTGCTCTTGAACATCGAGTAGCTAAAGCAAACTGAAGAAATGATGCAGTCAAAGAGCTGAACAGAAGATTTCAAAGGGTGGCTGAAGAAGACAAAGTAAAGTATTATAATGAAATGTGCGAAGACTTAGAGTTAGAAAACCAAAAGGGAAGAACATACACAGCATTCCTCAAGCTGAAAGAACCGAAGAAAAAATTCAAGCCTCGAGTTGCAATACTGAAAGATTCTAGAGAGAAAATACTAAAGGACACAGGAAGTATCAAAAGAAGATAGAACGAATACACAAAGTCACTGTATCAAAAAGAATCAGTTGACATTCAACCATTTCAGGAGGCAGCACATGATCAAGAACCGATGGTACTGAAGGAAGACGTCCAAACTGCACTGAAGGCACTGACAAAAAACAAGGCTCCAGGAATTGATGGAATACCAACTGAGATG